GGAGACCCATTTCGGACTTCTGGCCTCCAGAACTGTAAGAAAATAAGTTTGTGTTCTTTTAAGCCAATAAGTTTGCAGTAATTTGTTACAGCAGCAATAGGAAATTAATACACCTCCTAATTTGCTTCTGGGCTCCCCCTCCAACCTTACTCCAATCTATTCCACACCCGGCACCTAGAATGTTCGTTCAGAACATAAAATCCTCATGAACCCACTCTACTTATAGCCTTGGCTGCCTCCCACTGCTCCCCACGACAGTCTTTACCAGGGGAGCCTCCCGAGCCTTAGCCCTCCCCTTAGCCTGCACTGCGCTGGTCTGCTCTGCAGCACCCTCTGCCCCCACAACAGGGGCCTTTGCACGTGCTGTCCTTTTGCTGGCATCTTTCTTCCTTTGCCTGGTTAACCTTCACCCATCTTTCAGCTCTCGCCTCCATCGCTTCCCTGGTCACTGAACCCTGACACACTCACCTTGGCCACATCCCTTGGTGACGTGCTCTCAGAGCCTCACCTAACGCCTCTCCTTCCTAACGCTTCTCATGGCCGCGCGTTTGCGTCTAACTGTGGGTCTCCCCCACCCCACTGAGAGGTCCACGGGGACAGGGGTGGTGCGACTTTCCTAACTGCCCTGATATCTCCAGGACATGGCACAGCGCCTGGACTAGGCTAGGCACTCCAAATACACTTTTAAACAAGCAAGTGGCTGAAAAAGAAAATGACTGGGATTTGAAAGCCTCATTCCTCCAGAAAACACCGAGGGTGGGATCCTCCTTTCCAGGTGACGAGGCTCCAGCTTCCACGAAACTCTGCCTCAGGGTTGAGTCTCTAAACCCCTGCGCCTTGTATTTTACTAATTAAAATGTCTCCTTGCACGCTCCCCCGTGTGCGCACTGCCGGGAGGGTGTGATATGAAATAAAGTCTAACCTTGTCGGAGCAGGGGGCGATTCTGGGGCCTCTGGTTGCAGCCCGCGGGCTGCTCTAAGCGACGCTAATTGCTCAGCGAGTGAGCCGCAGACTCAGGTAATTACCAGCCTGCTGTGGCCCCGCATGTGCGTCCGGTTCCAGTGAATCGGTGCAGAGGGAGCTGCCTCCTGCCTGCCGGTGCTTGGGAAGCAGCGGAGACTTTTCACCTGGACTTGAGGCTGCCCAGGTCCAGCCACCTCCGGGCCTGCTCCCCACCAGGGCAGCTGCAAGACTGCACCACACAGGGCGGGCCACTCGGCCACTCTGAGCAGGCGCCAGCCTCTTTGGGGGCTCTTTCTCTATCTGTAAGGTCATCTCGAAGGTTTCCTTCAGCCTTATGGTCAATTGCTAAGTGAATAAACATTTGGTCAACGACTAAGGAACGGATTTCTGCACTGAATCGGCAGTGAAGTACTGGGTTCGAGTCTTACCTGGATCACTAGATAACAACAGTATTAATTTGCACTTATGGAGTACGTGCTTGTGGGTTGGTACTATTCAAAGAAGCATTTTATGCGCGTGATCTCATGTAATGCCCACAACAACCCAGAACGTTGTCAGTAATCCCAGGGCTAGTCGGTGCCAGGGCCAGGATTCCAACCCCAGCCTTCTGCCTCCAGAGCCTGAGGAAGTCCCGTTTCCTGAACCCTGGCTTCCTCAACAGTGATGATTGCTGTGCTCACCATGTATCCAGCCCTCTGCCAAGTCCCTTAAACATGTTCATTTTATCATCACGACAAAGTTGTGATGTCCCTGGAACTAATCTACTTGACCAGGTCACACAGCTGGTAAATGGTAGAGTCCGGATTTGCACGCTGCTCCGTTTGCCTGCGGTAACGGGTGCTTCCCCCGCCCCCCCCCAAATATTGCTCAAAGTGGAGATGTGCAGATCCCCATGAATGTGCCCACAGAGTGCTTGGGGTTCATGCACCCCAGTTAGAGAAATGCTGCGTAAAGCCAGCCACTGTCACTGCAACATCAAGGGGTCCCCAGTGCAAAGGTGGGGATTCACAAGGCAATGTGAATTTATAAGGCAGCCATCCAGATGGTCCCAAGTCCGCTCAAATTATTTATTTGCTATCAAAGTGAAAATACAAAATCAAGTCTCTACATATCTTGAAGAACTGGGAATACCCAAGTCCTAGAAATCCCTCTGCAGGCCACACTCCATTTGAGACACACTGCCCTGTGCCTGAATCCTGCCAAGGAAATCTCTGGCCCGTTCCTCCATTCTGTGTGTCACTTAGCTGCCACGGTGACAGGACCCACCCCAAAGTTGTAACTAGAAAACATGTGTCTGCTCACTCCCATCTCTCTCTCTTTTTAAAAATTATATCTTTATTGATTTCAGAGAGAGGAAGGGAGAGGGAGAAAGAGACAGAAACATTAATGATGAGAGTCATTGATCGGCTGCCTCCTGCACGCTCCCTGCTGGGGATTGGGCCCACAACCCGGGCATGTGCCCTGACCGGGAATCGAACTGGCATCTCCTGGATCATAGGTTGATGCTCAACCGCTGAGCCACGCCGGCCGGGCTCACCCCCATCTCTCACGGAACCTGCTGCCTGTGAACTGCACTCTGGATAAAGGGAAACTCCACTTGGAATATCTGCTCCAGTCCCACACCTCCCTTCTAGTTATTCCTGAACAACCCACTCAGCAGCGTGGGAGGGAGCCTACGAGAGATGTGTGGAAGGCTGCTGTCGAGGGTCCCTGCACTCAGGGGCAGCACATCTTATGTGATCAGAAATGTCAGTTTGGCTCCCCAACCAGGACACGCTCTTTAGGTGAACTCGGTGCAGGAGAAGGGCCCATTGATTGCCAGCGCAGGTGGCTTGCTGGCCAGGTTCGGGAGTGTGTTTGAGGTTAAGAGTGGGCATCATGGAAACTGTGACCTAACGTAAACTGCTTAACCTCTCTGAGCCTTGGTTTTCTCATCTGTAAAGTAGATCCAAGCATAGTAGGGTTGTGAAAAGTGAATGATATAAATAAATTCATATATGTAATTACTAAAACTGGTATCAGCACACATCCTCAATTCCCCCAATAAATTGAGCTCTCATTGTTATCATTAAAGCTTCTCCTGCACAAGCATCCACTTCAGGGATATCCCTGTACCCCAGGAGTGCAGCTCCACTTCATGGGGTGGTAGGTTCTAGGCCCTGTTTTGAAGACCTGTAGTTCAGTCACTAACAATGCTGCTCATTGGCAACAACAATGATCAGGAGCCTGCCTGTGGTCCTGGCCAGGCTCTGCCACTCGCTCACCGTGATGCCCAAACACTCACCCGAGCCTCGCTTTCTCCCCACTGTAGCTGCCTGCCTGGCCCGGCCTGCAGAGCTGCTTGTAAAGGGTCATGTATGGAAAACTCAGTGAGCTCTTCTTCACTAGGCCTGCGACTCCGATCAGGAAGAAAGACAACATCTGGTAGCCTTTTATGTCTTGAGTCCTTTGAGGTTTTACCTATCAAGGAAATAAAGGAGAAAAGTATTCTTAAGCGATAAGCTGCTGTACATATATTATTATCATCATTATGATATTCTCATGATTAAATGAGAAAGAATAATTTTGGTTTCACTACATTGAGATTCTACTCTGCAGACCCTGGGCTGATGCTTTTCCCACCATCACCCTCGGATACAGAGGAGGGAAGTGAGACAGAGGGAGGGTAAATCACTCGCTAAGGGTCTCAGAGTTGGTAAGTGGTAGAGGCTGGTTTGGGAACTCTGTCCGGATCAAGGCATCTCAGTCTGGACTCTATTGACATTTGGGGCCAGATAATTCTTTGTTGTAGAGACTGTGCTGTGTGTTGGACAATGTTTAGCAGCAGCCCTGGTCTCTACCCACTAGGTGCCAGCAGCAAACCCCCGCCATGCCAACCAGAAACGCCTACTCTGTGCTCCTGCTGAGACTCACTTATCTAAACTTACTCCTGGTCCACGGGCTACGTGAGAGCCAGGCAAGCACATGGCTGCTGGCGTCAGATGGACCGGGTTTGATGGGCTGTCTCTCCACCTATTACCTGTATTCCCTTGGGCGAATCACTGGAGACGTGTGTCATTTTGCTTAACTGAAAAATGAACATATCTCACAGGGCCGTTGTGAGATTAAATAAGGTAATGTGTGGAGAGGGCTTAGTACAGTCCCTGGTACATACCAACCAATCAATACGAGCCAGCAGTTAATGATTCTAATTCAAATCAAAGCATTCATGTCATGCATGACAAACCATCAGGTTGGCTGTCAACACATAACGCCAAATAATTAACTGGGGTGTGTGTGTGTGTGTGTGTGCACTTTACTGAGTGGGTTTGACATTGCCCTCGGGAAAGTGAGTGGGGACGGAGCTGCTAACCTCTTTAGAAATGTCATAACGGTGACTGCCAGATGCTGGAATCTGGGTTACTGATGACAAGACCACATGCCATTGAAACTGATTTAAATGCAATTAACATATTGAGTGCAACCATGTGATGCTGCAGGAAAATAATAAACGCTTGTCAAGTAGTCAGCTTCACTGCGATGTTTGGAGTCAACCTGCCGTTTGATTCATCGAATGGATTTACTGTTGCAAATGTCCCCAAAAGGAATCAAAGGAATAGGTACAGTCACACTGTCTTCCAGGCCCTGAGTGGCTTAGTGGTCTCTGGCAGCACTTTGATGTTGCTGAACCCAGAACCGCCCCCGACGGAGGTTTGCGGGGAGCAGCTTGAGAGGATCCATAGGGTCCATCTGGGGAGTCACTTGAGAGCCCCAGGCTTTGCAGGGAGGGAAGAATCTGGGTTCTAGTCCCAGCTCTGCCACTTGCTGTCTGAGTAAATCTGGGCCTCTGATTTTCTCACGGCGTTCAGTTCTTCATCTTTAAGATGAGAATCTGGATCCATTTCTTTGACTTCGCTGCGACGAGGTACCCCGGCCCCACCCTCAGCCCCACGTGCTCTCAGGAGCATGCAGTGGAAGGAAGGGGGTTGCTGGGAGCTCTCCGGTGCATTTGAAAGGTGCCTGTTCACTTCTCATCCCTTCTTTCCTTCCCCCCTAGGTACACAGTTCTGCACAGTGGACGTCACCAGGAACTCGAGAAACTGCCCATAAACAATGACCCAGAGTCCCTGGAATCGTGCTTCTGATCGAGGACGTGGCTCACAGCCTGGCTGTTCATTCATCGTGTCTGCATGAACGGGACACCCCAGCACCCCCCGACCCTCATCACCACCCGTGAGGCACAAGGCAGTGGGGCCGAGGGCCCGGGGAAGGTCTTGGAGGACCCGATGGACAGGCCCGAGGCCAGAGGGTGGAGGATCACAGAGTTGAGGAGGGACCTCAAGCAGCGTCAGATCCAGCCCCACCCAATGCAGGAGAGGCGTCCTTCACATCACCCCTGAAAGCCGCTCAGTCTCTGCTTGCACACCCCCAGGGACAGGAGCTCACTCCCTCCCGACGCAGCTCCTCCTGCCACCGGGACGCTCTGATTGAAGGAAGTTCTTTCCTTTGTTGGCCCGAGAGTCTGTCACTGCTCCGCTGGGGCCGTGCATTTGGCTGCTTCTTCCTCCTAAGAACCCTTAGCTGTTAGAAGGCAGTGATCCGCTGCCCACTCGCCCTTTTAATTCTTCCTCCTACACTCAGAGGCTCCAGTTTCCTCTCCATTCCGGCCATCTGCTTCTGGACGTGCTTTGGTGGATGAATTAATCGAGGCTCTTTTAACGAAATTAGGTTGGTAGCAATGCCAAGAGTTCCGTCTAGAAGCACTGAAGTCCTGAGAAGAGAAGCATCAATATATTTTGGTTTATAGACATGAACATTTTTCTTGACATATTTTTTTGGGCATAGACTCTGGGAACTCTGCTTAGGATTTGGTTTCAGGTCCCTTACCAAAGAGCATCTTTAAAGCTGGTCTGGTGTGTGCATCTGTTTAAAGGTAACATTCCCTCGTTGGCACGCTGGCTCTGAGGTCGTTTGGAATGAATCTTACTGGATTCACTCCCCCCCCCCCC